TGTGAAACTTTCATGATTACTTTCTATAAAGTATAAAGCACAATTAAGGTTAACTTATTTAAGTGGGTGTCCAATCATTTATGAAAAGATATTTAAATTGTGTCACTTTCATGCATAACAATCTAGGTACGTAGATAAGGCATTATTATGCAATCACATTATAATTTATCTATTCATTATTTATGACAACTACTCATATAGAATAGAACTGAATCCAGTTTAACTGTCGTTCTTGATAGAACTGACAGTAGTTCTATCCGTTGGTCCACCTGCATGGTTAGTCATCAATGATGTCAATACATAGATATATCAAGGATAGTTTCATTCTTTGTTCCTGCACGGTTAGTCCTTAGTAATTCCAATGTTCACTTGAAACATAGATTAATTCTATCCTTTGTTCCTGTTATGGTTAGTCATCAACAAAACCAAATATTCAACAATAATCATATTTCATATTATAATAAAACAGAAAAATAATAAAAACACTACTACATTTTTAGACCTAATGTAACATTAATGATGTAACATATCTATAATAGTGTTACCTATTTCTCTAATGTAACACTTTTTAGACCTAGTGTAACACTTTCTAGAAGTATAAGGGTTACATTAGGTACTATAAAGTGTTAGAATAGGTCAAATGCAACACCAGCAAATGTAATGATAAAACAATGTTACATTTGCTCTGAAAAGTGTTACATTAGAGAAAATGTAACATTTTTTTACCATTACATTTGATGGTGTTGCATTTGACCTATTGTAACACTTTATAGTACCTAATGTAACACTTATACTTCTAGAAAGTGTTACATTAGGTCTAAAAAGTGTTACATTAGAGAAATAGGTAACACTATTATAGATATGTTACATCTCTAATGTTACATTAGGTCTAAAAATGTAGTAGTGAAAGTATTTCAATTTATAAAAATATAGTAAACAAATAGAAAAAGGTTAAAATTATTTTTTAAAATAATAAAATACTCCCTCTGTCCCATTGGATTTTGCGAATTTTCCCTTTTGGATTGTCCCAAAAAACTTTGTCACTTCTCGATTAAAGCAACTAATTATGATAAAAAAACTAAAGCAACTAATTTGTGGTTCTGCACATTTCTCGATCTTTCCTCTGCACAAATCTCTACCACACAATTTTTAATTTTGTTATTTCTCATCTACTTTGCACTTGGCAAAGTCCATCGGGACGGAGGTAGTAATAAATAGTAATAAAAAAAATTTAAAGAATACTTTAAAAGTAAATAAAAATAGATACAAACACATTTCAAATATAAAAAAATTAGAGGCCCTTCTGCAGCCTTGCCACCTCCCAACAATATAATGCCAACTCTGATCCGCAAAAAAAAATCCATTTTATGTAAATACTGCAATTTTTTCTATGAAAATGTCATGAATATGACATTTTACTCTTTAAAAATATCAAAATTTTCTAAAAAAATGTCAGCAAGATGGCATTACCAACACATGATGACATTTTTATGGTGGTCGGAGCTGGTGGTGTTGGGAGGTTGTTGAAGCGGCAGTAGATGCCTACATATTTTTTTTATTACTTTTATTTTATTATTTTTTTTATTTTAATTTCATAATTTTAATTTTTCTAATTTTTAGTTTTATTAATTTTATTTAATATTTTTTTCTTTTTTATTTGTCTAAATTTTTATTATAAATAAGGTTATGTTATTACTTTTATGTTTTAATTATTAATGAAATATGAATTGCACTAAACAAAGCAAGGATAGAATTGGAAAGCTAGTCTTATTTAAGGAAATTTTAAATTATACTCATATTCTTGCAATTAAAGTTTCGTTAAATACTATTTGATGATTGTCCCCTATATTTTCCTCTTTTCTAAAAAAATTCAAAGAAAAAATATAAACAAGTAGCTCAGAAAAAATTATAAAAAGAGACTACAATGAATAGGAATACATAAAAAGGATAGAAAAATTTTAGGAAGAAAAAATAAAAATCATATGTGGGATCGTTTCTAGAAGATTTGTAGAAGGTGAGATTTATGGTTGAATGATTTGCAAAAAAATGAAACAAACTGGAATAGCAGGTCATCAACCGGTCAGGGACTAACGAATGAAGATGAAATACAAATGTTTGATTATTTCTGAATTATGATAAAGTGAGACTATTATAAGAAAGTCGTTAAAAGGTTAGATTATTAGTTTCTATTTTCCCTAACAATTATTACTTCTTTTTGTTCCGAAAATTTCGTCAAATTCGATTTTTAACAGATTTTTCAACGATCCCTAGGTTACCTTGTGATGTGACGTGCCTGATAGTCACATCACATTATTTTTCCTTTTTCTTTTCTGTTTCTATTTCCTTCTCATTCTTTTTGTTTCTTTTTCTCTCTCTCTCTTCTGGCTGGAATTCTTCCGCAGGCCAAAGAGGCTTTACCGGATTCCATTCTTCGACCTTCGCTGCAAGTGAAAAATAAGAATAAACATAAGCCATTTATTTGATAAAATAGAACGAACAAACAGGTTTTAAATCCGAAGACCGCTTTAAGGACGACACAATAACAAAAGTGCTTCGATTTATTAATTTGAGACGTCATTTGGTAACATTAAAATTGGTTGAATTAGTTGATTTTGTTGAAATTTATGAAATTCTGGTTGAAGTAACTGTATTAGCTGATTCATTAAAAAATTATATTTTAAATATTTTTTATTAATAAATTACATAAAATATTATATTAAAACATAGCTAAAATGATCATATACAGTAATTTCAGCCAATACAGCTAGAAAAGTAACTCAAACCTTACATTTTTTCTCCTTATTACAAACTTCAACGCGCGAAATTAAAAGTTACGTGTTTGGTGAAAAGGCTGACTGATAAGCCTGATAAGCCGAAAAAGGGGTCACCAAACGGGCACTGAAAGGTAAAACAATTTTGATTTAAATACTCCTTATGTTTTTAGTCCCCGACTCCCCGCGAATATAATGCATTTTATTTTACATCCCTGTAAAATTATTTTTTGTTTGTTTTTCATTCCTAAAATTAATGTTGGTTTTCATGGTAATCCTTCACCAAGATAACAACCTTCATTTAACAACGAAACAATCTCGATTAATAGGTTTCTTCTAATTCACCAAGATTACATGTCATGTTATTCAAAAAGTATTTAATTTAATTTTATAAGGTTTCCAATACATATTTTAAAATGTGAATAATTGATTTTACATCATTTAACTCTCATATTAGCCTTTCACTAAAAAACTCTCATATTAGAGTGGTTTTCTGAATTATTAGAGATGAATTAAAAACAAATTAGTGCATATTACAAGAAAAGAAAATGGAACTATAACTTAATTCAAACTCAACCTACAAAAGTGCATATCATTTACCTGAAATTTACTTATGAATATATCTTATGTAATAATAAGCTTAACATGCACAAAAAAATTAGACTCCAGGTTTTCACAAACATCCGAAATGTTATCATCAATACATGCTAATGTGATCATCAATACAGGCTATGTGGGACCCAACCCCGCATAAGTGTGCACATTTGCACATTACTCTGCGTTTGAGCTAATAGTCTCAAGAGTCAATAATAGCACATTTTGAATGATAATATTCACTGACATCACAAAAATAACAAAAAAGTAATGTAAATAGCAATTAGGAACAACTTGTAAAAGAGTGAACATAACTTTTAACATGAAAACTTAACTTGAAACAAAATAATGATAGCTCATTAGCTCTTAATGAACAATGTCAATAATCAACTCATAACGATATTCTATTACGAGGATCCTTGTATGAGTAACGTCAATAACTTTTAACATAAAATTTTAAGTTTTAACTAAAAAATAATGACCCCATGATTGTAAGGTTCCCTTGATTATCAACCATATGATGTAATAATCATTAATACACCATGACATCAATGCCTGCATAGCAGACAATGTTTGGTAAACAACTAAAACGCCCATGATAGCAGTAGATCTGTCTAATAAATTTAGAGGCCCTTTTCTAAATACCAAAAGAGACCCACATATAAACAAAAATTAAAATCACATCGCCCTCCCTAACACCATTCGTATGAGATAGATCATCAATTTCTTTATCATTCTCAATAGGGAGATCACCGTCTAAGTTTTCACTAGCACTAGTTTTTTTTATCATAAATCTATCTAGTGTTCCTCTTTGAGACTCAGTTACCACATCCAATCTAGTTTTTTCTTTCGTTTGTCATAACCCAATTCATACTTTCTTATTCTTGAAGACATGAAGGACAACTTGATAAGTATATGTTTTTAAGAGAGAACAATATTACTTTCTAACACCATTCTTATGAGATAGATCATCAGTTTGTTTATCATTCTCAATAGGGAGATCACCGTCTAAGTTTTCACTAGCACTAGTTTTTTATTATCATAAATCTATCTAGAGTTCCTCTTTTAGATTCAGTTACCACATCCAATCTCTTTTTTTCTTTCGTTTGTCATAACCCGATTCATTCTTTCTAATTCTTGAAGACATGAAGGACAACTTGATAAGTATATGTTTTAAGAGAGAACAATATTACCTGGGTATAATCAATGCCAAGATTTAAAGGATTGGTGAAGTCAAACCAATATCAATTCTGTTTTTTGAAAACTTGTGATTCTGTGAACTGGCCAAAGTGTTGAGTTGCTGACTGCTGAACAAGTGAACTCACTGAGAACAGGGCAGCACCGCAACAAACAATTGTCGATTGAGGCCACCCTTAACTGAAACCACGGTTGCTGAGAGGAGATTCAGAAGAACCAAGAGAGCTTGGAGGGGTTGCGCTATTTGCGGACAGCGATATGTCGATTGCCTGGTGATTAGTTACCCGATTGCGAATTAGCGAGAGAACCTGCTAGTGGAAACAAGGAGTTGCCCGCTCGCGTAGTCGTATCTCTTGTTTTAGCGAGTAACGGGCTACGGTGTAAGTGTATAACACTTTTTATTTTATTTATATTATTATTATTAAAGCTGTATTCGTAATTTGCTAAATAATAATATTACTAAGGGAAAAAATTTTGGGACCCCCAAAAATGGTGGGCCCTGTTCCAGAGAACATGATGAACTTGTCAAAAGACGGCTCTGAGTAGGAGTCATTTGGAAGGCTCTTATTTGTAAAGAATATTTATCAAGTGAGACTTATTTCTCATCGTGAGAGTAGTTAGCCGTATATATATTAATTAATCACATGAGATGAGATTAGTTTGTTATAAGTGATAAGAACAAATAGGATAACTACAAGTGAACTACGTACTCTTGCTCTAGGATAAATACAAGGAATAATTACAATAATAATTAGCGTTTATCCTATTATGCCCCCCACAAGCGAGATGGGTCCTGGAAGGATCCCGAGCTTGGACCGATGAGATAGGAATAGCCGACGATCTAAGAGTTTGGTGTGTGAATCAGTGAGCTGATCTCGAGTATTTACGTGACTAACCCTTAAGAGTCCTTGAGTATTTGGTCTCGGAAAAAATTGAAGTCAATAACAACATGCTTCATTTGGGAGTGAAGAACAGGATTAACACAAACATATGTTGCACTAATATTATCACATAAAACTGTATGGGATTGTGTTGGTGTGATTTGAAGTTCACGAAGAAGATTGCGCAACCATGTGAGTTCAGCAGTGGCGGAAGCAATCACACGATATTCGGCTCTAGTAGATGAGCGGGCAACCGTAGATTGTTCTGTTGAGCTCCAACTAATTGGATTGCGGCCAAGAAATACTACATAAGCAAAATTAGTAGAGTGACGTGTGTCTGTATCACTGGCCCAATCTGCATCAACATATGCATGAGGAGAGAGTGGGGTATGAGCAGAAATAAAAACACCATAGTAAGGTGTTCCCTTTAGGTACCGGAGAACACGTTTAATAGCCTCCCAATGATGAGTAGAAGGTTTATGCATAAATTGGGAGAGTTTGTTGACAACAAAACTTATATCCGGTCGGGTGGATGAAAGATACTGCAATGCACTAATAACACTTCGGTACTCAGTGACATTATGAGGAGGAGTATTATCATAAAGTGAGAGAAGAGCATCAGACGAGAGAGGTGTAGGAACTGAGCTAGGATCTTGCATATGAGTCTGAGTAAGAAGATCTCAGATGTATTTGTGTTGCGTGAGATGTAAATCCTGCAGTGTGCAAATAGCTTCCAAACCTAAAAAATAAGATAAAGCACCAAGATCTTTGAGAGAGAAGCGGTGAGCAAGGCGGGTGATAAAGGAGCGGAGCACATGAGTTTTATTTGCCGTGATGATTATATCATCCACGTAATTAAGTAAGAAAAGGATGAACCCATTATCTTGAAAAATGAATAAAGAGGCGTCATTTTTGCTATATGAAAACCAGACTGCAATAGAAAAGCCATAAGTTCACAAATCACAATACCAAGCCCGGATAGCTTGGCGTAAACTATATAGTGCTTTATGAAGAAGACACACATGATCGGGAAATTGAGCGTGAGTGAAGCCCTGCAACTGCTGCATATAAACTTTGTCAGATAACGTACCCTGCAAAAAAGCGTTATTCACATCGAGCTGATGTATAGGCCAATATATGGTGTGTAACAGCTAGTGTAAGAATAACTCACACTTTTACCGGTTTAATCACCAGACTGAATATATTTGTAAACTCCATGCCTAGACATTAATGAAAACCCTTGGCCACCAAGCGACCTTTATACCTAGCTATGTAACCATCGAAATAACAGGACCGTCTAATGAATTTGGAGGCCCCGGTTCCAAAAAGCGATTGAGGCCCCTGCTAGGTTTATAAAAGCACGCCTAAGGCGCGCAAAGGCGTGAAGCACCCTAAGATGATTAAGTTATCGCATCATATACCCCTAGGCGGAAAAGGTTCTAGGAGACGCGCCTTATACCACACTTTTTGCATCCCTGAAACAAGAAAAAGTACAAAATCTAGCAATGAAATACAAATAAACTAGATAGTTAGTGAAATATAAGTTTTATAATGTTTAAAGTGCAAAAATTAGACAATCTAAAAGTTATACACCTTTGAGAATATCGAATAATATATAATATCTAAAATAATCAACCTATAACTACTACTACATACTAAATTTTTTGGGGCCTCGTATTAGGAGCGGGCCCCAGTGCCAAACACCTATTGAATCTCCTAAAAGATGGCTCTTCCAAATAATTTAAACAAAGGACTTTGATTGTCAAGGAGGGGAGTGGGAAGACGATTAATGAAGTATGTGGCATATTGAAATGCATAGGGCCAGAAACAAAGTGGAATGGATGCATAAAAAAGCAGTGTTAGTGCAGTTTCAATGACATGACGATGTTTTCGCTCTACTGATCCAATATGTTGAGGAGAAATAAGATGTTGGATTCTATGAGTGGTGAGAAGTGGAGAAGGGGCCGTAAAATCGCCGCCGCCATCTGTGTATAATGTTTTTATTTTTAATTGGGAATAGCCAGAATTATTTGGTATAATAATCTATGAAAATAACATAAATTTGAGATTTATTAAAACCAATAATTGGGGATGGATCCCATACATAAGAATAAATGTACTGAAATGGACTAGTACAATTAATTAATGATTTATTAGATGATAATTTATGGCTTTTGGCATTAAGACAAGAATCACAAATAGTCTTGGAGGTGGAGACGACAGTTATTTGTTATTGAGCGGAGGGGGGAGGATGACCGAGACGTTGATGCCAAAGCTTAGAAGAAACTTGATAGGCTTGAGGAGAAGGGCTTGACCATGTTATAAGTTATTTTCACTCTGGTTATGGGCCAAAGATTCCCCCGTGGTAAGATCCTTCATAGCAAAAGAAGTGGGTGAGAATTCAATGGAAGTATTGTTTTGTTTACAAAATTGATTGACAGAAATGAGATTGTGACTAATACAGGGTGCACACAAAATATTATTGAATTTAAAAGAGGAATAAAGGGAACCAATAACAAAAGAGCCAATGTGTGAAATAGGTATATTTTACCATTACCAATAGCAACAGAGTCAGATCCATTATAATCTGAATGGACATGCAAATTGTTGAGATGGCAGGTAATGTGATGAGTTGCGCCTATGTCAAGGAGCCAACTGTTGGTAGATGATGGAGCACCACTGGAAGCGACATGTGCACTTGGATAATTTTTTATAGTGTAACATGTACGAGCAGTGTGACTGAACGTATCACAAAGTTGATATTGAATAGTTGGTCCGGAGGAAGCACATCGCGATTTGTGTCCTGAGATGATGACTAGTGAGTACCAAAACCAAGACGGTTTTGAAAGGTAGAGCTCCAACCTCTGCCGCGGCCGCAACCGCAAGAATGTTGATGATGTTGGTTGAATCGAGCAGTGACATGGACGTCAAAAATAACAGTGGGTTCACCGGCAAGAAGTTCTGCATTTTGAAAGAAATATTTCAAAAGAGGGTGGAATAGGTTGTACCCGAAGGGCACCCACCAAATCTTTGAATTCATTTCCAAGTCTGTTGAAGACATATGAAGCGATCTGGCCGTCACTAAGAGGATGACCAAACGTCACAAGATCATCAATGAGTGTCTTCAGCGTGTTCATGTATTCGGTAACAGTTTTGCCTGCTTTTTTTGCTCATGAGGGTAGAAAGGATAGACAACAACTCTTACGAGTAAAGTACTAAAATATTTCTCCAACTCTTAATACTAAAGTCCCTAAGTAATTTAGAAGGGACTATTAATATTGTTGGGTTAATGGCCCAACGGGGGTTAGCCCATAAAATCCTCAAGGGCCGCCCTACGGACGTCCCAAAAAGGCACAAGACAACGAGTTACCTTTCCGCGGATTCTGGAGAGGTTTGTCCCCAACAAGGCCAGAGGAAGTACATATCCTAGCGTCGGCAGGTCAGTTGGCCAGGAGCAGCACAAGACGCTCGTCTGACAGGACTTGGATCCCATCAGGAGGGGGAGGCAAGCCCATGAGACGAACGTCCCCTCCCCTTGGCTGGATGCCAAGATCCCAGCAGGACGAGGAGGCAAGATCATGAGGACGAACGTCCCCTCCCTTGGCCATGAGCAGCACAAGACGCTCGTCTGGCCGGACTTAGATCCTAACAGGAAGAGGAGGCAAGCTCATTGGACGAACGTCCCCTCCCCTTGGCGGGAAGCCAAGATACTGGCGGGAAGCGCATTTAATGCATAAGATTTGGTGGTTGTGGTCAAGCGATCCACAACCCGCCACGTCAACGCATACAACTAACCATTGGCAGTATAAATAGAAGCATTTATTTCATTGTAAGGGGTTCGCGTCTTAGTGACATGCATTTTGTCGTAATGTGCACTCAAAATAAATACAATACAACAAATATACGTAGTATATTGAAGTAAGGTTCATATCCACAGTGAAAGGAATATTTATCTTTTATGTAACTAGCTAGTAACAAGAGGGGGGGATTTTATGATTGTTGATAAATTTAAATATATTTAAACACTAAGATGAACGACTTATGTGGTTTACTTTAATAGAGATGAAGACTTGGTTTTGCTTTTATCCACATAATGAAATGTTCGTCGATCCCGGTTATATCTTTAACTATCTTCCTCTCGAATACTCAATCGAGGAGTATATCCAGTTCATCGAGGGTAGTTATTAATAACGAAACGCGTTCATTAATAAAACTTACTACCGAGTTAATATAGAACACACGCCGTATATCAACTCGACAGTAGCAATAAAATCAAGATGAAAACGATTGAGATTGATAACCTCAACACAAGCGGTTTATTGATTTAATCAACATAATTAATTCCCCTTAGATTATTAACCATGAGACGCATGCATTAATAATCCAAGTTTACTACCGTGAATAAACCGAATTAATAACAAGCGTATTAATCGATTGACTCTAGTAATAATTAATATATGAAACAAAACTAGTTGATCCTTTAAGTAATGCTCAAAATATTAATATGAAATATGAATAGGAAATAATTAATATTCAAGGAAGAAGATTAAAGAAAGTAACTCACAACTTACAAATTCATTAAGCTTCAAAGTAGCAAAACCAAGATGGAAGAGTTTAGCTCCTAATTTGGAGACTACACATGAAGAAAATATAAAGAAAGAACTTGTCTAAAATGAGCTAAGAAGTATATGTGAATTGGTGGTCTAATTGTGAAGGGAAGGGGGTGTATTTATAGGATTTTGGGCATGCAACCCGGGTACCCGATCAGGTATATACACAATACCCGACCGGGTATGTGTAGAATACCATATTCGAGGTATACTCGACCGAATTCAGAGTTAAAGTTGAAGGTATACCCGATCGGGTATATACAAGGTACCCGATCGGGTATGTGTACAAAAGCTATATTCGAGGCATACTCGACCGATTTCAAGTTAAAATCGAAGGCATACCCGATCGGGTGTGTCGGTGTACCCGATCGGGTATAGACACCTGATCGTGGTCCAAATCTTCTCTGCATGTTCCTTTGTCTTCGGATCTGATTTGATTTGAGATTTCAACAAGATACCCGATCGAGTATAGGTCATACCCGATCGGGTATAGACAAAAAATCAGGATCTTCATTTCGTCTTGTGATTTTGCACCTTCCTTCCACTTTTGGGGTTCACCAACTGTCCTTTTAGTGATCATGGACCTGTTTGAGTTCAGAATAAACCTAATCTAAACAATATACAAGTATTTTAACAAATTAAACTATTACACCAAAAGTGTGTAAATTCCAAAGTAACAATCAATAAAAACTAATAAAATCATAAACATAAACATGGAAGTTATATGTTTATCACTTAGCACTCCAGCATTATAGCAATTGTATCAGCTCGTAGCATAGGCTAGGGACGAATAGCCTCACGCTCTGTATGCTAGGAACGAACGAAATTAATATACTAAGACTTCTTACTGGGCCTCTTCTTGCTTGTTTCTACATCTACATCTTTATTTCTTCCTTCTGAAACCTTTGGGTTGTGTGTTGGGTCTACGGGTTGACGGAATAAACCTTAACACTAGCGTCGTCTGTGGGAAGGTGGACGAACGTCCCCAAGAGGACAAACTTGTTCTCCATCCAAGAACACTAACCAGTGCAGTAAAGCTACCGGTGCGGTGGGAAGGTTGACGAACGTCATGTTTCAGTGTCTTCTAAGATTTTATAGAACAATATTTACTCAATATGTTATGACGTATAATCATCATTACAAACTTAAAATTATTATGATCGAGAAAACTAACTTTGGAAATGACCAGTAATGTTATAGGTAGGCAAAATAAAGGGACCGAGTGAGGGTAAGACGTTTGAACTACTACTCCTCCGACCCCCTGAGTTTGTCTCATACTCCATTTGTCCCATGAAACTTGGCCAAATATGTTTTCTACTCGTCTAAAAAATTCTACCATTTCCATTGAAAAGAAATAAATATATGGTTAAAGTAGTTTCAATCATATCCACAAATTCTATCACACAGTTTTTACTTTATTATTGTACGTGCAAGTCAGACTTTGCCAAGTTTTACGTAACAGAAGAAATATTACCCTTTTCGTCTCTCTCATTAAATTTGTTCCATACCATATCCAATAATAGTTAAATGGTTACAAATAATTTTGACCTTGATTAAATATTAATCACAGATTCTACTTTTCTAAAATGAAAAATTCTATAGGTAACCTATTTTGGGGTAGCCTATTTGTACACCACCATTTGTGTGGTTCACAAAAGCAATTCATAAAAATGGGGCAATAAATTTAAAAAATGGACTTTTGTGAACCACATAAATGATGGTGTACAAATGGGGTATCCAAAAATGAGGTACATGAGGAAAGACTCCGGGGACAGAAGTAATATAACGTATCCTTGTTGTTCACAAGTGAGAGGTCCATAACATGTTTATAATGTGAACCGGGTTGGATTGCATATATCCAGTAAAAGTAACCGCCCATTTCATCATCAAAAGATTACACCTTCATGCTTGTAAACGTGATACGAATATGAACAACATAAATGCAGTTTCTATAAAAAGAGATAAAATGCACAATTCAACAGCTAATCTCCGGTCTCACGTTTAATAATCCTATCTAAATGATCATCACATTTTGACTTAAACCCAAATAATTTTAAATTATTTCTAAATCAAGCACAGTCATTTAATAAAAAAGCCATTAATTTAAAATCCATTTGAAAACTCTTATTTTCAACTTATCAGCCAACTTATCAGAGATACACGATGACATTTTATATATATAAGAGAAAAACGAAATATTAAAATAAAAAAACTACTTACAAAGTATGCATGGCTCGATGCACTTCTATCTTCCCGTTTAAAGCGGCACGCCCTATTTTGCGTGGTACACCATTCACACACATTGTTTGTCTACAAAGACAGATTTGTCTGTATACAGACAATTTATCTGTGAATATAGAAGTTGTATGTGTACAAACTACTCCGTCTATACAGACAAACAATGTGTGCGAATGTATACACAAAAAGGTGTCTAACAAACATTTTTTTTTATTAAAATAGCATCACATTTTTTAAGATCTTAAATTTGATGTTCCTTTTTCATTTGTATTTTGTTCCAAATGACTTTTTTGTTTGAATGTAAGAATGATTGGATCTCGTGCTTTAGATTAATTTGAAAATTGTACATACGAGGTTAGCTTTTTTGTAAAAAAACTTAACTTTTCAATGACTTTTTTTGTGACACTAACTTTTCAATGACAGCTAAGCAAAGCAAAAATAAATGTAACAAAAATGTGCATCATTTTTTGTTAAATCTCGGGAATTGGGAAACTGTTTTAGAAAATCTGGCGGATTTCTCAGAGTATCGTGTGATCACTTTCCGAATCTAATATTTCGACCATATGCCTGGGTTACACGAAATTTAGATTATTGGGATAATCACTCTGAGAGACAGTCTAAAACTGAGGCACCAATATATAGATCACGAACTAGCAGTTTTAGTAGAACTCGAATTCTTCTGATTACCAAAGAGATAAGGCCAATCGGTTAGAGTTTTACTCTAACAGAAAGTCATTCTATTAAATAATTAATATGGACATGTTTATCCGAGAATAAATTTCCATATTTATTTCTTTAATAAAATAAAATTTTGGTCCGGGGCGCTGCCCCTTGGACCCCCGCTAGGGGCGCTGCCCCTTGGACCCCCGCCAGGGGCGCTGCCCCTTGGACCCCGCCAGGGGCGCTGCCCCTTGGACCCCGCAAGGGGGCGCAGCCCCCTTGACCCCCGCCATTTAATCGAACCAAGTTTAAATTTAATTTCGTACAAGTGTGCGCTCCGCACCTCCTAACTTGTCTAAAATTAAACTTGAACTCCATTGGTAATCTGTAAATTCCATTACACTAAAATGAACCTGGTGATACTAAAATCACCAACATTTTTTACTTCAATCTCATTTCTTAAAGAAGAATTGGAGTGAGGGAGTGCCACAAGGGTTAGGTCCTGGATTCGAATCCCGGCAACTGCGATGAGAGGTTACTATGCCAAAATGCATAACGCCTCTGCAAGTACCGGGGACAGAGTCTCACTCTCTATCTGTCAGATTGAGATTATAATCCAATTTACATCCTTCCAACGTACCGTCCGATCGGGATTGAAGACCCTCAGAGATGTGGTGTCATCCTTTCATTTCTTAAAGAAGAACCAAGACATAAAATCTCCTGCTGCTACAGTGCAATGCACGTTACGAAAGGACCAAATTAATGAGCTTAAGAGTTCACGTTTTTTTATGTACATAACCCATGACCCATCATATATCTCGTTCAATAGATGCTATATATATCCAATGTTTTTTAAGTTTTTACCAATTCAACTTTCTTTTCTACTCCTCTCCTAACAATATATCAAGAGATTGTAAAAAAAAAAAAATTGATCAGGTTCGAGTGTGTTTGTTGCCTGCTACGAGAACCGAAGGTATAAAAATAGTACATCTAACTTTGTTTCAGTTTTAAATGCATCAGTATATATATTTGTGCATTAAGTTTTTGGTTTAGGGTAGCTTGATTCTTTCGTTTTCTCTATTCTGTATAGTGTAAGTAGACATACACAACATAATATATACAGTTCAAAGTAAAAACAGTACGTCCAAAGTAAAAACATTCTTGGTCCTGATTTAAAGATACTACAGTTCGTTATATTAAAATTGTCATTGAAAAATGTGTTAAAAATTGCATAAAATGGTTAATTTTGGGCAATATTTTGAGTGAGGTCCACTTCCAATTTGGGTCGGGTCAAAGTGATTTCGGATTTTCCTTGCTAAGGGCTATAATTCGGTATGTGGTACACTCAAAACGGATAACGGTGATTGAGAAATTGATTTTCGAATTTCATTCGTTGAAATGAAGAAAAGTAGGAAAATGATGAGTTTCTAGTATGATATTTCCCACACCGGAAAACCCAACAGATTTTCACCCCTTATAAATGGAAACCTCTTTGAAGGAGTTAAGATTCCTAGGTGGAAAGACTCTCTTCCCACGCAGGGGTTGTCGATCAAATCCTGAAAATGGGGAAGAAAAACCGCGACTTGCGTGCGCGAGCGGCCTGCGGACACGAATGACGTCCAAAAATCTATCTTCAACGATCAGCAGTAGGCTGTTGTTGAGGCGTTACAACAATAAATGTCCAACATTCTTCTTCCATTATGCAGCGTTAAATGGTCGATTCAATGCCTAATGGGTTGGTCATTCATGTCCAATGTTCAAGCCCATTAACACACCACCGTATCCTGGGAAACGATCGTCGTTGCAACGCTCCTAGCCCATTAATTTTCTTTGTTTTCCGAGTTCACACCAACAATTACTAATTTATTAATCCGTATATTTTTGTTGCAAAAAATATATTAAAACTACATGTATAGAAATTACCCTATAAGTTTTATTGAACCACAAAACTTGGATTTGAAAATGATAAATTTGAGTTGATACATGAGTAGTGAACAATTTTGAGAAGGGATGAATATACTAGTGTCTTTAACATTTTGATGAACTGTTTTAAAACATATCAACATGTTGTGCATGTTTAGTGCAAGTTTGATAATGTTAAAATGGATTGAATCACATGAATTTACATAAATTCAAACTAAAATGTTGAATTTACTCAATTATGAAAAATTTGAATAATAGGGAGTACTAAAGTATATTTTCTTTTTCAACAATTTTTGGTGTACATATTTTTATACACATCAGTACACACTCGTGTCTGTGAGAGTTTGTTTTGTCTGTGAATCCTAGTCCACAGACAAAAATTGGCTTGTCTTGTCTGTGAAAAATTCTACAGACAAAATAAGTCTGTTTTTGTCTATGGACTGGGATTCACAGATAAAAAAAACTCTCACAGACGCGAGAGTGTACTGATGTGTATAAGAAGGTGTACAAAAGGAATTTTTGTTTCTTTTTTGGACTTTCCAAAATAAAGGTCTTTTTTTGGCAAATTATCTTACATGCTACTCCTACTATTCATGAATACTTTACGCTTTACTTTTTGCTTAAATTTATAATTTTGTTATTCAAAGGTTATTCGCATTTTCAGTGCTACAGTACAAACAGATAGATAGTTTTTATAACTATTATCCCATTTTCTTAATATAGAGTTTTGGTAACTCCATTATTTTGGAACGTAACGAAGGTATAGTATAAGAAAAGAAGCAAAAATACGCAACTCTTGAATAAAATTTGTCAATTCAATCAAAAAGTGATTGTGCGCCTTTATTTATTTTGATTATTTATTATTTAAATCAAAAAGTTGGGTTAATAAGACTGCTAAACTAAATTGAGAGTATTAAACGAGCTCCTAACACTATCTTTGTCCTAAAAATAATTTCTCACCTTTCGGATTTGAATGGCACAAAACAAAGTTCCATTTTCATAATAGAAATCCTTTATTAGAAAAATGTCACAATTTCCATTACATATTTTACATGATTTATAAAGTAGCGTGTTGCTAAAAAAAATTCAAAAAAAAAAACATATCTCTACATGTCAAATCCGGAACTTGTTTAATTACACAGACGATGATAATACTACGTATATTTAATTCAAGTTTTTGAATAGTTAATTGTTCAGTTATTCTTTATTAAAAAATGAAGTAATTTCTTGATAATATTTGATAAAAATGTTACGAAGTATTATGGGAACATATTAAAAAGTATACAATTATATATAGGGAATAAAGCTTTGATTGAATTATATTGTCAATTCTACTCAGTATTATCTATACAGAAATATATCGCATTTACACATGCTTCATACTAATTTACATAATTTTAACAGCATTTATACTAATTAATTTACAAAATTCTTGAAATAGGACTAAAACAGTTTCAAAATTCCAAAATAGGACTGTCATGTTTTTTATTTCCAAGATAGGAATAATTACTGACATGTTGAAAATACTGCCATGTTTGAAGTCTGGTACTGCCAAAACATGGCAGTAATTAGTCATATTTTGGGAATAAAAACAGGCAGTCCTATTTTGAAATTTTCAAACTGTTTTAGTCCTATTTCAGGTAATATCTCTTAATTTTTTTACACAACGTAATGTGTAACTTTTTACATCAAACGTTATAATCCAACTAGGTTCATGATTTCCCATTTTCATGTAAAAATATACTCCATCCGCTCCATTGGTGTACTAGACTTTGCCCTCCATTGGTGTACTAGACTTTGCCCGCTTCCCTTTGTGACCGTCTATGTAGCACCAATATAGATAGACGGAAACACAGAAACACGAAAATGGGTACGCGGATACGATAAAAAAGTAGAATACAGATATCGGATGTATTTATAAATATTAAAAGTTATAGGGGTGTATTAGTAAATATTAAAAACTATGAGGTGTATTTATAAATATTAAAAATCACACGAACTTTTTTGAAAATATATACACATATATCCCCTCCTCTTTCATGACAATGAAGCATTTCACATTATCAAGATAGTTAGAAATAATCCATACTTTATATCATATAAGTGCATCTCAAAATATAAATATAGTTCACAAATCACTAATTTAAAATGAGAAACAAGTGAAACAATCACAACTTTGAAATTAAAAGCTCAAGTAATCTAAATTCTTGGATAAAAGATTCTCAATAAAGAGAGAAAATAATATGGTAAAAAACTAGAAGTTCAAATAAATATTTTTTTTAGGATTTTATTATTTAATTGTTGGGATCTTTTTTATAAAAAGGTTGATACGTGCTGCGTGCACCCGTCAGAATATACCCGAATTTTTAAAATAATTACCAAAAAGTTGGATACTTTTAATAAATTACAAATATATAGGGCTCGAGAACGTGTGATATGAGTATCCTAGATCGAGTATCTGATACGGGGATGGTTCGGATATGCCAATACAATATCCTAGTCAAGTATCTACATAGGTGGCCGTCCCAAAATTTTTATCACGTTTCATTTAAAATAATTAATTTATGATTGCTTATTTTTCTCTCTTTTGCACAATGTCAATCATATAATGTTTATTTTTTTTATTTTATTTCACATACAAGTTAAAACTTGCAACATCCAAGTTAAAACTTGCAACATCCAATGGAACGGAGGGAACCGAGGTAGTATAACGAGCCCGTTTGGTGACCCTTTTTTCGGCTTATCAGGCTTATCAACCAGCCTTTTCACCAAACACGTAACGTTTTATTTCGTGCACTGGAGTTTGTAATAAGCAGAAAAAGTAAGGTTAAAGTTACTTTTCTGGCTGTATTGGCTGAAGTTACTGTAGATGATCATTTTAGCTATTTTCATATAATTTTTTATTTAATTTATTAATAACAAATATTTTAAATATAATTTTTTCATGAATCAGCAGAATCAGCCAATACAGCCACTTCAGTTAGAACTTCATACATTTCAGCAAAATCAGCCAATTCAACCAATTTTAGTGTCACCAAACGGGCTCAACATTTACACAATTTCCACACATATTTTACATTATTTCAATACATCACTCTTTCAATACAATATTTAAACATTAGTCACGTGTACTTACAAACACGCGTATAGGGGGTGCTAATGGCCTAATCGAGTGAGTCAGCTTTGATATAGAGGCCGAGTTCGAGGTCAGTTGAGTCGAAAATATTTATGGCTTGGTTCGAGTTGTATCCAAGTTTTATATATTCTCAAAATTGACACATTTTTAAACAAAAGGTTTAATTTAATATATGTTTAAACATGTAGGTGCAATCATCAATAATTTTTAAATATAAAAACATCGTTTTATAATTCTCTGCCCAATTGTCAATTAGATAATATTATATCTCTCTTTGCCGTCTATGATTTTTTAAATCTAAGATCAACTAGGTTAAATTAGTCCTACTTAAATCTGCTTGAGCGTTGCTTGCAAATGTTTATAATCTGCATAGCACTTTTAAAACATTGTCTAAAACGGTATGCAATATGCAACTCTCTAGTATATTACTAGTCGAAGATAAGTATAACTTTGATGCATGGATACATACTATGAGCATGTGATGCAATGTCATATGTATGAATCTAAAGTATCGACATTAAAAAAACTACAAATTTGAGCGGAAATTATAGCGTCACAATGATTAAATAATCATTTTGCTTTGAATTTAATATTATCGTATGGTTTGAGAATTGTTTATCTCATTGAATATTGATGACAATTCCATGCAACATGAATTGTGAAAATTCAAGGGATAAGAAAAATAAGTAGACTCAGTCCATGATTATCAATTTCTTGGACTACATGGAATTCAGGAACGAAAGACTTTGAGATACATAGTAATCCATGAGTTAAAGGGTCATATTTGGAGAAAATGTTCATGGTGTGTTTAAAGTTAAATTCTATAAAGCTACAAAAATGCACCATGTAACTAATTTAGAATATATGGGAAGAGCCAATGAGGGAATTATGAGTTGAATCAAAATCATAGAAGTCTAAATTAATTATCTTGAGAATGCCTAGAACTATGGAGTCCATAATATGTTTAAAATGACAACACATGAAATTTTGTGATAATGTGAAATTCATGAATAACATATTGATGATATTTTATGATTTTGTAACACTCTAAGGGTTAACCCTTTTATTATTCTTATGTGTGTGTGTTTTCTTTATGAAGTTCAACTAAACATTGACTCGTGGTTTTGTAGATCTCCAATAATGTCAACCAATCTGAAGTATTGTCATGCGCTATTGATGGCTGTGTTATGGATTATGCACTTTGAGATCACGATTCGAGCTTCTTTAAATGACATTACGTCATTAAAAGTTTTGCGAGATTCTCTTATTCCGAGTAAATATGCCATTCCAGAATGGTTCAACACAAGTATTTATCCTTGTGATTGGACCGGGATCACTTGTGATGATAAAAAAGTTATTAAGATTGATTTATCATGTGCACATCAGCCTCTCAGTCTTCCATTTCCAAAATCCATTGGACAATTTAGATCACTGATTTACTTAAACATCAGGCATTGCAATCTTAGTGGTGCTATATATCCAACCATTTGGAGTCTAGAAAATCTTGAAGAAATGGACTTCACGGGAAACAAGTTAAATGGAACGCTACCTGCAGCTATATTGGGTCTACGAAAGGTAAGAGTGATTGTGCTTGATGAAAATGCATTTTGGGGTAGTCTTCCATCAACAATTGGCGAGCTCAAAGAGCTTCAAATACTCTCTCTTCGTTCAAACTCATTTTCACAAGAACTTCCTAAGGAGATCGGGAACCTTGAGAAGTTACAGACCTTGGATATTAGTTTCAATTTTTTCTCCAGTAACCTTCCTTCCAATATGGCAAATCTAAGAGAAATCCTGCATTTTAAAGCTCATCATAACAATCTTTCTGGGTTGATATTCTCGGAGATTGGAAACTTGAATAAGCTTAGGACTCTTAATCTTGCAAGGAACATGTTGACTGGACCATTGCCTGCAACACTTGGAAATCTTACAACCCTTGAAATTATTAATCTTAAAGGGTGCAAGTTCATAGGAAAGATCCCTGAAGAAATTTTTCAGCTAAGAAGCTTGATTAAATTGAACTTCGCACACAATGAGTTTGAAAGTGAGCTTCCTTCGAGTATTGGCGGGCTAAAAACTCTTATTTATCTTATCATGCCGAATGCAGGGTTGACAGGAAGGATTCCTATAGAATTAGGAAATTGTACAAAGTTGAAGATCATCAATCTTTCCTTCAATTCATTGTTTGGTCCACTACCTACTAGCCTTGGAGGTATAGAATTTCTGCGCTCATTCGAACTTGATGGGAATCATATATCAGGATTATTCCCGAATTGGATTTCTAATTGGACGCGGTTAGAATCGTTACAATTGTCAAATAATCTCTTAACAGGGACATTCCCTCCAATTAACCTTCCTTATATATCTTTCATTGATATTACCGCCAATGGAATCTCTGGTTACTTACATGGAGAAATTTGTAGTGCTAAGTCATTGAACACCATTTGGTTTTCAAGCAACTTTTTCAATGGTCAAATTGATAGTACCTTTAGAAATTGCTCAAGGCTCAAAAACTTGGATTTGTCTCAAAATGATATTTATGGCGAGCTCCCTCCTTACCTAGGAGAACTTCAATTGGTTACCTTGGAACTATCAAAAAATAATCTTTCTGGAACAATTCCAGATCAAATATGGGACTCAAAAACGTTGATGGAGTTATCTCTTAGTTATAATATGCTCGAAGGTCCCCTTTCAATAAAGAGTGATGCACTTTCACCATTACGTACGTTGCAGCTAGATAATAATCGTTTTGAGGGAAGAATTCCACGTACAATCAGAAATTTAAAGAATCTAATGCATCTTTCTCTTCATGGAAATAAGTTTGTAGGACAAATTCCATTGGAGCTTTTCAACTGTACGAAGCTGGTGTATTTGGATCTAAGTGATAATGAGTTTTCTGGCCATGTTCCAAAGTCTATATCTCAACTGAAACATATTGTCACCTTGTTTCTCTCATACAACCGATTCTCAGGATCAATACCAGGTGAAATATGTGCAGGATTTCAAAATGTGCCATTACCAGACTCTGAGTTCATCCAACATTATGGTATGCTTGACCTTTCCAACAATGAATTCTCTGGGCCTATTCCTACATCAATACAACAATGTGTCATACTTAAAGAGTTATTCCTACAACGGAACAAACTCTATGGCACTATTCCATATGAAATCTCAAGCCTAGAAAGTCTAACCAACTTGGACTTATCCTTCAATTCCTTAACAGGCCCTTTGGTCCCTCAATTGTTCTTCATGAAGAATCTCCAAGGCATGCATCTCTCACACAATAAAATTTGGGGATTGATTCCAGAAAATATAGGACAAAAAAGGATGAGCTTATTCAAAGTTGACATCTCACATAACTTGTTGACAGGTCCCTTGCCATCTTCTATTTTTACTATTGAAAGCTTAACATATTTGGATGTCAGCATGAATGGATTTTCAGGTTCTATCTCACTTAATATTGGTCAATCTAGCTCATTGTTGTTTCTGAATGCAAGCAACAACAACTTTGATGGATCCCTTGGTGCATCAGTCTCCAACCTAACTTCTCTTATCACCTTAGACCTACATAACAACTCCATCACCGGAACATTACCTCATTCCCTTTCCATCCTTATTGCATTGACATATTTGGACATTTCTAATAACAAGTTTCAAGGCTCATTTCCATGTGCTGTATGTATGATTACAGGGATTACTTTCACAAATTTTTCTACAAACAATTTTGTAGATGAAGCACCTGTAAGCTGCATAAATTCTAGCCTGTATTGTTTATTACATGAAGACACATCCGATCTCCAATCTGGAAATGGTCTTTCACCTCCAAAATCTTTGGCTTATCCCTCGCTTTTTGAAATCACTCTTGGAACGCTTTTTCTTTCATTTGTTGTGTTAATTTCAATCATCACCCACAAATTTTTGAAACAAAAAGAAGAAACCATAAACAGAGATACAATGGCAACTACTAAGATTGAGAAAAGAGACGATTTCCATGTAGATGATCATATTCAAATAAGGAAGACCAAGGAGCCCCTAAGCATCAATATTGCTTTATTTGAGCATAAATTGTTGAGGTTCAATCACAAAAAAGTGTTACTAGCTACAGAAAATTTTAAGAGTAGCTATATAATTGGAAGTGGTGGCTTTGGAATAGTATACAAAGGAGCACTATCAAGTGGACGGAAAATTGTTGTTAAGAGGCTTTATGGAAATTGTGAGATGATCGGGGACCGCGAATTCTTTGCTGAAATGGAAACACTTGGAAAGGTAATATATTTACTAGAGTTACATCATAAACATTCAACATGAAAAAGTGATTAAAAACACACTTATTGTTGAGGTTAGAACAATCTTGAAGTGTGTGAGCTTGACATTAGGTTTAACAAGACTAAGTCAATCGCTCGAACATAGTATAATTCAATACCATATTAATGCTCGATGTTCCTCACTGAATGATAATCAACCTAGTACAAAGAGAAGTAAATGTGTGTCTTATGTGTTGATTTTGTTTTTATATTTAGTTGATATGTGACGCTTGACAGGTTCACCATGAGAACCTAGTACCCTTGGTAGGTTATTGTGTGTTTGAAGATGAGAGGTTCTTGATTTATGATTACATGGAGAATGGGAGCTTGGAAGCTTGGCTTAGGAGCGGAGCTCATTCAACGGGAGGAATCTTTTGGACAACACGATTCAATATATGTCTTGATTCTGCTCGTGGGCTAGCTTTCCTCCACCATGGTGTTGTGCCACACATTATCCATAGAGACATCAAATCTAGCAACATATTGCTCGATAAAAATTTCAAAGCACGACTGTCAGATTTTGGGCTTGCGAGGACCATAAGTGCATGTGAGAGTCATGTTAGCACAATGCTAGCTGGAACATTTGGGTATATACCACCCGAATATGGGCAAAAGATGGTTGCAACAACAAAAGGAGACGTATATAGCTTCGGAGTGGTGATGTTGGAGATTGTGACAGGGCGTGCACCGACTGGACAAGCAGATGGTGAGGGTGGAAATCTTGTTGGTTGGGTTAAATGTATGGTGCAAGAAGGAAAAGAATTTGATGTGTTGGACCCATGCTTCTCGAGATCCTCAATCACATCAAGAGATCAAATGTTATGTGTTCTGCACATAGCCCGATTGTGTACATGTGATGAACCCTCAAAGCGGCCAACCATGCTTCAAGTTCTTAAATTTCTTAATGTTGCTAAACTTTGATGTGAAAAAGTGTTTCACATATGTTTGATGTATTGTTTTTTCAAGTTGTTTAAATTCTGCTTTATGTTTAATTTTTTTAATGTTGCAAAACTTTGATGTAACAAAGTGTTTCACATGTGTTTGATGAATTCTTATTTCAAGTTGTTTAAATTATTTTATAAAAACATAATAAGTTTAAAGTTTGAATTCTAATTGTCATCTCACATTTACTTATACCTCTCACCTCATTTAATGATTGATATCAATGAAAATGATTGTATTGCCAAAAAAGTAATATGTACTAAAGTTCTAATTTTGTTAATATATACTCCGTATAAGTTATAGTCTTATGTTCCTACATTGTATATTTTGTATTGTACTTATTTGAGTTAAGTCCCTTAATAGGAGTAAAACATTAAAAAAGTCCTTAAATAAGAGTTTAATGTTTGATAGGAGTAAAAAGCGGGTGGCTTGACCAAATTACCCTCAATGAATATTAGGTATATATCTATAATTAAACACTGAAAAATATATTGAAAAAATTTCCAAAACCCTACCAAACAGTGCCACATCAACCAACACAACAACCACCCTCCAATCAGGGGTGGAGAAAGGGAGGGGCTGGAGGGGGCCTCGACTCCTGCAAGAAAAAAAATCTTAAGTATATATTATGTATAAATGTCTTTAGTCTAGAGAAAATATGTTGTTATTTTAAACTTAAGCCCCCACAAGGTAAAATTTACACAACTCGCCCCCCTTAACCATAGATTTCTGGCTCTGCCACTGCCTCCAATGCCACCACCGCCAATCGGCATTTCAGCCGTCGCTGCTCCCAGCATCTTAACCGCCGCAGCCGCCGCACTTTAGCATCTCTGTCGTCATCGCCGCACTCGAGCATTTCCATCGCCACCACCGCAGTCGCACTCTAGCATCCCTGTCACCGCTGACCTGCTCTACCCTGCTGCGATGACGCCAACCCTCCGACGAGGCCCAATTGCAATCCCCCCTCTCTCTATCCTTTGATGACTGCCTTCTCCGATGACGGCAGTTTCCTCCGTCGATCTCCTCCTCTTACGAGGTTGTTGCCACACAGCTCTGTCTCCTTGCACCACATTGTCTCCTCTGAGAAGAGTGCTTTGGTCGGAAGAGGCTGCTAGAATAAGGGTCATCTTAATAGTGCAATGCCAACTTTTTGAAAATAGCAAAAATGAAAAATAATGTCATCTTTACATTAATAATGTCATATTAATGTTCTATTGACATCTTTGTAATGAACAAAATTAGTGCCATGAAGAATGACATTATTTGCCAAAAAATCATTTTCAGATTAAAAAACACGACATTATAAGAATAATATTGCCATCTCTGATAAAGGCATTGCCATAATATGACATTACTTCCAAATCAATGTTCAAAAGACATTATTTTCAGTTCAATGTTGAATGAAGAGTATTTACAGAAAAATAAAAATATTAAGTATGCACTTTCATATTCAAAACTCATTAGAAATAAAGATAAATCCAAATAAAATAAAAATTAATGAGAATCCAATATAAAATATCAAAGTAGACACTGATAATAATAACCTAGAAATCTTAGAGAATTAATCAAATCACCAAAAAATAAATTCAGAATAAAACATGAAGAAATTGAACAATACAAGAATGCAAAAAAAAAAGATCAGAATGGGACATGAAGAATTGGAAATTAGGGGAGGAGAAAGAGTCGGGGAAGGAGAAAAAAGAAGGAATTGGAGAAGGAGAAGAACGAGGAAAGGAGATTACATGAGACATCGACAACAGAGGCGTGACATCCGGTGAAGAAGAGCTTCAGGTCGGGATTTAAAATGTGAAGGGTGAAGATAGACATGCATAAGAGCATCGATCACAAAGGAGAGGAGAGGCGAGAAAATGTCGATGATTTCCGGGTTTAATTATATTAGGGATATATAAGTAATATGGAGTCCTATCTAGTTTTTCTTTTTTTTGCCCGGAGAGGCCACTGGAGGTGGGGAAAGCGCCGGGGAACACTTTCCAAATTTATTAAAAATTTGAAGTTGCCAAACAGAGTTCAACAAGTTAAATACAAATAGAAACCAAATACAAATAGAAACCAAAGAGAAAGTTTAAATAGTAAAATTTGCAGGCACCCCGACAGATGTTGCAAGGGATCGGTTGTATTTGTTATGAAACTGGATGGCCCTTTGCAGATAAGGAGGGTAAGTTGTTGCCTCCGGATGTGATGACTTATAACGTTTGAGGCATGTTGCAAGTTTTTGTGGTGAGTCATAGTTGGAGTAGATCGGGTAAATATAGTAGTCCTCGTCATTCTGAAGTGTTTTAGATTGACTTCTAGTCAATAGGTTGTCCTCGGGAAAAATATCTGGGGTAACAAATTCTTTAGCTTCTGCTATCACCTGTGCAAAGTTTGGATCTGTTCTCTGGTCTGGGCTCTCCTCAATCATCTCCTCAACCTTTCGTCCGGTATCTAACCCTTCCGGCACCAAGTCTTGGACCTCTTCCTCACCTTATCTAGGTAACAAAACATGAAAAGTTATATCTAGGTTCTAGGGCAATTATTTATAGGGTCCTTCTATGGTGCCTCTCACAATTTCAAAGGTATGTGGTACATTGCATTATGTGGACCAATGAAAAATTGCCCCACTTTTGTGTGCATGTTTTAATATTATGTATGTCAGAGTAGTATTGGCTGAGCAATGAAATAGGTATGGTACACTCTTAATTTTAAGAGGTACCGTAGAAATCTCCTTATTTATTTACTTGGAATAATATGGAACCCAAATAATATATTCAATTAAACATTTTAGTGAAGGTTTTGCATTTATTGCATTAAATGTCATTCTTAGTGAAACTACATCTTACACACAGATCAAGTCAGGGACTCAGGAGTGCTTGACAAAGTTTTTGTAAACCGCAATTCATTTTTTGTCAAAAAACACAGACCATGTTTGGAAAATGACGTTTCCGTCGGTTTTCGGTTGGTTTGACCGAATTTCGCGTTTTGAAGCCCTGAAAAAGCCGAAATTAAGTGTTTGGTAGTTACCGGGTTGATTTAGCAGTTTGGATCGAAACGCTACAAAACCCAGCTTTTTCATATATACGTAATGATTCTCAAAGCTGCCCTTCCATATTCCTTGGACGCTGCTATCCATAACCACAACTCCAATTTGTTTTGAAAGTACGCATAGTTGTAATAGATGAGCAATTTAAGCATAGTCTCCTATTACATAAGAATGGTCATTCATTCATTCTCATGCATCAACAAAAAGATCAACATGCAATTGTGATTTCATTTTGCTGAATCAACAAAAAGGCATGAGTCATATATAAGGGAGACGTATCTATTATGCGTACAGCCTCTAGAAAGTACTCATAGTGCTACTCCTTAATTGATTGATGAGAGAATTACCATGAGTAAAAAAGTTTTGAATTCCAAAATATGCCTTAATTGATTGATGAGAGAATTAGCATGAGTAAAAAAGTTTTGAATTCCAAAATAGGAGTATCATGTTTTTTATTCCTTGAATAAGAGTAAATTTCTGCCAAGTTTGGCATTACTGGGCTTGAAAATAGGGCATTTTTTTCCAAACTTGACCGATTACTCCTATTCAGGGAATAAAAAACATGACACTCCTATTTTGGAATTTCAAAACGTTTTTGCTCCTATTTAGAGAAATTTCTATTGATTTTTTGGTATTATTATAGTATGCATATGCCATGTGAGTTATTTTGGTAGTCTGTAATTGATTTTTGGAGTAATTTGAGTTTGGACCTCATTTTATTGTTCAAATTGGACTTTGCACTCCGTTTTTAAAAAACTTTGTATTTGCACCTCAACCCGTATGAAAAGACAAAAATGCCCTCTATCAGGAATATGTTGAAGGCCAAGAGAATTATTAATGGAGGGACATTTTTATCTTTTCATATGGGGTTGGGGTGCAAATACAAAGGTTTTTAGAAATGGGGTGCAAAAGTCCACTTTTGACAATAAAATAGGGTGCAAACTCAAATTACCCTTTGATTTTTTTTATAAAAAACATTATAAAATTATGATAGGCTTACAAACTCAAAGTGGAGAAAATCAAATAAAAATATATAGATATAGATAAAACGAAAAAATTAAGCATATAGCAATGCTTGAGTTATAAAATTATACGTGGCATTAAACAATAACAAAACACATATCAAAATGTGTCAATGTCTTTTTTTGACTTTTTATGTATTGACCGCTAAAATAAACAGCTAAGTTACCAAACATTTTTGTGCAACCCGCCAAATTAATCCGCTTGTCGAATTCCCTGATTCAATCCGCTATTTACAACCCGGCCGGGTGGCCCGACCCGGAACCGGCGCGTTAAGCTCTTTGGTGAATCTGAACACCAAAGAATTGGGTTTAGAGAGAATAGAGGCGCAGAGATACAATTCTTTTATTTTGGCTTGACCCGGAACATGTCCGCTATGGATGGACTCGGGCTGGGTGGCCCGACCCGGAACCGGCCCGGGACCGGTACTGTTCCGGCCCGGCCCGACCTGGTGGCCCGGTCAGTGACCGGTCCGGGTAGGCCCGACCCGTGGGTTTTCCGGTCCGGGCTCGGGTCACCCAAAACAAGGCCCGACCCGACCAGGCTCGAGCCAGGTTCGGGCCAAAACTATTTTTTTTTCAATTTTTTTTAAATTTTCGGGTTGAGCTGGGTATTTTGGGCCATTTGGGATGGTTTGGGGGGTTGGGGCCTTGGGGGTGGGAGGGAGGTTAATTAGGAAGAGGGAAAAAAAATTGATAATGGGCTCGGCCCGGACCCGGAACGGACCCGGTGGTTACCCGGGCCGGTCCCGGGTCCACCACTTCTGAACCGCCGGCCCGCCCGGGCCTAGGCCCGACCCGGCCCCAGCCCGAACCCGAGTCCATCCCTACAACCCGCTAACATTATTCGCTATACGCTAAACACTAACCGCTGATTACCAAACATGCTCATAGTGATCCATTTTTTCATCAAATATTACAACCCATCAATCATGACGATAATACCATTTTTTAAGATGAAATAATTTTATCCTTTAGAAAAGTTTATATGGTGAAAATTTGTTTCTTTATTTTCTATCTTCAAACAAATATAAGATTTTATTGTTGAATTCATGTGACGCACGTAGATGACAATATTTTGTTATTTATTAAATACAATTATTTTATAAAATATATGAATAAATGTATTTAAATCTTGGGAGTTGGGAGCATTTTTAGTACTTTATTCCATTTCTACACTACTATGAGACTTCAGTATTTTCATAAGTCTCGTGTGCTCAATAGGGATGGACTAAACCGGCCCGGCCCGCTACTGTGCGGGCCTGGACCGGACTGGGTCCGGTTGGCTGGTTCCGGGCTTTTAGCCCGTTTGGGCGGGCCGGGCTGGGGCCCAGTTTTGGGCGAACCAGCCTGGGCGGTTCGGACCGGCCCAGGTCCATCACTAGTGCTCAAGTTGCTTTTGAAAAATGTACATTCTTTCGTGTTCAGTCTTTTGTAATGCTCATTTTGGCTCCATACAATGCTCCATTGATATGTATGAAACTTATTTATACATGAAAATGCCCAATTGGATGTACAATGTAAGTTCTCTACATGAAATCATGTCAATATGTCATAATATGATTACTATTAACATCAGACATCAAGGAAAACTATAACTTCGATGATCAGTTTCAAGATCTTCATCACTTCCAGGCACATGCAGCGACCAAATCCCTGTCCATCCAACCAAGGTAAAGTGCATCATTTCTTTCTCCAATCCTATACTTGTCCGAATGGTTCTCCAACAGTCTTTTTATTGTCAGATTCACCAAAGAGCTTAACGGGTACGGAGTAAAACCTGCCATCCTGAACCTAGACTTCCACTTCCCAAGAAGTTCATGTCGTTCCACCCTTTCTGTCCCTTCGCACGCAATTACGTTCACAACATCTCTTGCCAAACAGTGCTGCTCCACGTTGATCCGCTCACTGTGATTCCTCGGAAGAACCTCATCAATAGATTCAAACATTGCAGCATAGTAATCCAATGTTTCTACAAACCGAGGAAAAAAGGCAGCCGTGTTTGTATTAGATTCTTGCTCTACGAGAGTAACCACCTTCGGGTTAAGGTTTTTGACCATCCTCAACAACCTGATATTAGGAAAATATTATTATATTAGTAATATATATTTAGTGGAACATTTTCATTCATTTCTCAGTTATCTGCAGTTTGCAAAGGTTTGTGTTTGTCAGTTGCAGATGATTCCGTCAATCCATCTAGAAGGAGAGAATAAGACACAACCATGGAAGACAAAACTGAAGACGGTGTAGTGAGTGTCTTTTGTTTATTATTTTTTTCGCATTAATTTTAAAGTTCTGTCTAAAAGATCAACCTAATAGTTACTCAGGTCTTATATTTAAGTTTTTATCTTTGTATTGGCTTGGTCTGGGATGACTTAAATTTCCTCTCAAGATAGTGGCTAATCGGAGCATGTCAAAATTGAAGTCCATGTCGACATTATCAAGTATTATCAAGCTCAGATTGCTCATTTGAGTTTAATTAGTTTCGATACAACCTAAAAGTGATATATTAAAATGAACAATTATAGTGGACGTGCTGATGGAGAATACAGTATATAGAGATTTATATATGACACATGAGTTCATACTATATGAAGGTTTGTTTAGAATAATACCTGTCCCTATGGTTTAGGGTGCTCACGCTTTCATCAGGCATGTGGTGTAGCATGTATGCAAAATTCACGGCCAGTGCTTCTCCTGGTTGGATTCCCAGGTTTTTCAGGTCAATGTCTGAAGAATGGAATTCAAAAGGAACTTTGAAGGACTCGGCAAGTTCTGAAAGATTTTTTCCCGCAATACTCACTGATCCCCGGTCATCTATGCCGGTTATTCGGATGCGGGGTGGCCCACCTGGCCGGGAAGCGAAAGCTTGGATAAGAGTAACCCACTGGCTGCCTTGACCGATTTGGAAGTCTATTATATGGACACTTTGTTCGCTCTTCATGGCTTCAGCAATGGCTCCGTTGGCCGACATGTGACCAAATTTGAAGTAAGGGCAAACCTCGTAAAGGGTATGCATGTAAGTGAGGAGCTGATAAGAACTTGTTGTTGGTGGCAAGTGTTTGGATCTCAAGGATTTGTAGAAGGAACTGCCCGAGGAAGATGACCGGGCAACGAGACCTTCCAACATGTATGCCCCAAGCCGTTGGATTGGTTCACCCGAAACGGAAACCATTTTCCGTAGTTCTGACATCAACCAATGTGATGTCATCAAATCATTATCCGACACTGCCTTTGCACAGGCAATGAGGACCTGTTTCAAATCCCCATGGGGCATAATTTGCCCAAGCCTTGTAGTTTCTATAAAAGGAGTACCATAATTGGTGTGAGTGAAATGTGGGTCAGGCTTGGTAATGGGGCTTCCATTTGATGGTGAATTGGAAAGAGCGTCGTTCCCACTCATCGAGGATGATTCCAAAGTGCAATAGGGCTTATGAGGAGCTTCCTCTTGAAGTGAGTCATTAGATCCATTTGTGTTGGCTATAATTTGAAAGTGAGACAGGAAGTAAGTGTCATCGTTTTGAAGGGGTTGAGAGCACAAATCAGTGAATCTCCTGAGACGTGATGCATGCATTGAAAAAACTGTGGCCCTTTAATTCCCAAACATAATTAAGGTATAGCGATAGATTACTCATAAAACGGCTATTGTAAATTGAATGCCTCTTGTTTACTCCTTGACAGTAAGACCGACACCAATCTCTGCAGAGAAATGGAATGTTGTTTAAATGAAGGATGTTTAGTAACAGTGAAAGGAAATTACTATCAAAAGAACAAATGACTTTATTAACTTTCTTATGGGAAAGGCCACAGAATAACATAAAGAGACAATATGGACATACCTTATGTTTTGCAAATATAGCAGGTCAAGGTTTGAGACCAAACTTTTAGTGAAAGCAATCATTATAATATTGACAGTTCGTAAATTAGGGTTTGTTTCCGTATAATGTGAATAGTTGGAGTAGTAACATGCACTTTTATACTCTTATTGGATACCCACCCGCCTTAGACTCTTATAGTTTTGGTGACGCTATTTATGGGAATAATTTAAGGACTTAAGGTACAATAGATCATCAAGCAAATATGCTTCCACAAATACAATCAAACAAAAAAGAGCAAGAACACTAGAACTTGCGTGGTTCGGGAAGCTATATAATACCTACCATAGGGCACTCTCAACTATCTTTACTAACCACCACACATGAAAAATTACAATTTGGGTCTGAACTCACAAATAGGAGAAGTTCTCTCAACACAAATACCCACCTAAAGGAGATAAAAATTCCTAGTAGTGAAAATTTCCACATAACTGAAGTACAAATGGAGAAAGAAACTATGGTTCTTGCTCAACTTCTCCTATCACTACTCTAAAGAACTCAATATTTTTATGATACTACGTCCAAAAAAGGTTGAATCCCCAACCCCAAGGGCCCCCCCACCCCGATTTTTATGATACTACAACACAACCTAAATACCCCAATTTATAGGACGATGATTGCGGATTCACAAAATAACTTTCTCAAATTGCTTGGTGCAATTTATTCTTGCATTCCTCCTTTTATAAAAATCACCCAAAAAATCATCTTTCCGGTGGATCACCAAGCTTTTTCTAGATTGCCTCCTGTGAGTTTCTTGACCCCTTGGGTGCCTGTTAGGATTCTCTAAACTTATTGCAGCACATAGTGTGGCATCAGATTCTGTCTCCACTAAAAAAATCAATGGTTCAAAAGTTCAGCCTCTATATTTTAAAATAGAACAATGCAGGGCTTCTCAACCAAGATAAGAAAGGATTCCACCATAACTCCTAAAGACAAGTTAGAGCCAAAAGTTCATAGTGAACTCATCTAAGAGCACCATCACACAAAATAAAATGTTAAAAAGCCATTGATGCATATGCGTGTGTAAAAAAACACCACTTACTTCAATACCATATCCGTAGGGATGAATTATAGAGTTCCTTTTTTATATACATCGGAAATAAGAATATAGAGTTCCTAGTAGCTGAAATATATGTTGCATTGTTACCTCACGTTTTATAAAAACTCAACAGAATTGGTACGGTTTAATCATTTTAGTTAAATAATCTTTACCAAACTGCCCATAATGTTAATGCGCAACTTCAGAGGCCTCCAAAATACACATTTCACTTATTCCACCAACTCACGTCACCCCTAGTCCCTACCAAATGAAAGGCTCAAGCAGTAGAGAAATACAATGAAAGCATTCACTCTTTGTCAGGCAAGTGAAGCAAAAAAACACTTGGGGATTCAAAATCCAAGCTGTAGCCTACCAATGCAGAGTGGACCCTGAACATATGAAGAAAAAGAAAATGCATCTGGCCTTCATGTTTTATAAAAAAAAATTAGGCTACAGTTTTTGATGATCATTACAAGGACTAAATGGGTAAAAAAACTGCTATTCTGTTATTGTTTTTTATTTTTGTTTTCCATTCCGTTTTCTTTCCTTTAGTGAACAATAGTCAAAAGTAACATTGTCTAAAGACTAATCCTAAACGAGAACGCTAAGAAACCTTTGGTGAAGAAAATAACAGTATTATTTGGATGTAATTAAAATGTTAGTAGAGTTTGATCAATTAATGAAGGACAATAGCCAAGGAATTCAAAGAGCTGAAATTCATTATATTTTTCTTTATCACATAATTGAGCTTGAGGTGATTCAAATGTCAGCGCCTTAGCTGCTAAGATGAAGACTTTATTATCAAGAAAAGTTATATGAGAATGAAATGACTATTCTTCAATGCACAATAGTTATTCTCTTGCAACCCTTTTATTATGTAATAATAATATGTGGATTCGCTCAAAATTAAAGTTTATATTTTTATTAAATAAAATGTAGTTTTGAGTATATATATGACAATTCTGTTGAGTAAAAATAAACAAGAATAATAAATAATGACGTAAAAGATAAATAACAGACCACATAAATTTTTATTTTCTTCCGTAGGGTCTCCCAATTCTGAATGGTTGCCCTAGCCCTGGATCTTAGAACAACCCATGCTCGGAAACAAATTCAGAAAAAGAAGAACTAAAAACTGGAAAACATGAAACACCTATTTTTGAAACAAAACCAGAACAAAACTACATGAAAAATATGTGAAAATCGAAGGAGAAGCAAAGCGTTGGAGTTAGAGCAAGTCAAAAGCATAAAGTAGTGAAAGAGTTTTGATATTGGCACCTTAAAAACTGAGACTCGCCAAGTTCATGATATACACGCTTCTTCTCCTTCGAATCTCTCTGTATGGTGCTGCAAACTAAAATTCTGAGGAAAAGAGATACAGGGAGATGGGAGATGAGAAATTCTTCCGTTTGGATTTTATTACTCCTTGCCTAATAAACAAAATAAAAATTGTATACAAAAAAAAAAACAAAACAAAATTTGGGCTATGGCTTTTCAACAGGGGTGAGCGTAGTCCGGTCCGGTCCAATATTTTACCGAACTCGTACCCGGATCGTTACTATTGAAACGATTCGATTCGATTCGATTCGGTCTTAGATTTAAACCCGTTCGGTACGATTGCATTTTCAAACGGGTTGGTACCATACCATACCAATACCAAACAATGTCACTTTTTTCGACAAATTCAAACTTAGTCATCATCCAAAAATCCATACAATTATCAATTTTCACATTACATAGTTAATGAATTTCATATAAACTATAATAATACAAAATGTAATAACTAATAACAATTGTGGATGTAATAGATTAAAATCTATTGCATCCAAAATTACTATTATGGATGTAATAGATTAAAATCACTAATGAATGTAATACTGCTCCTGCAGTCAGCTTGCAGTGAACTATCAATTAGGAAAGTGCAAATGAGTAATCAAAGTAATGGTAATATGGTATACATGTATATATAATTATAAAATTATATAAATTAATAAAATTATATAAATTAATAAAATTATAATTCGGTCCGGTACCGGTTCTCATTTTATGAGAAGCGATCATGGCATGGTTTGGAATCGGTACGGTACGGTTCGGGACGAAAATTTTTAGAACCGTTTGAAACCCCATTTTCCGGTCCGGTACCATACCGGTCCGGTTCGGTACCATGCCGGTTCGGTAATTTTGCCCACCCCTACAAGCCTTCATGCATAAAATGATGGACACAAATCAGGGATACTAATAACACCTGTTCACAACTATGTTTCTAGAATTTTGAATAGAGAGAATTCCCTAAATAAGAGTAAATTTCTGCCAAGTTTGGCATTATTAGGCTTTAAAACATGACATTTTTTCCAAACTTGGCAGATTACTCCTATTCAGGGAATAAAAAACATGATACTCCTATTTTGGAATTCCAAAACACTTTTGCTCCTATTTAGAGCAATTTCTATTTTGAATATATATTCTCATTATACTAGGTAATAGTATATGATTTCGTTTTCATGTTTCAATTTATTAGGATACATGAAGATTTTAGTTATTTATTTAAAATTAAATATTAATAAGGAAGATTTAATTTCAGTCAATCGACATTACAACCAGTGGAGGACCTAAGGGGGGCTAGGGAGGGCACGTGCTCCGCTTCGGGCCCGGAAATTCATTATTATCACTTATGATAAAAACGAGTGCCCTACTTTTAACTCGGAGTTTTTATTATAGACTAAGTTTTTGGTCCGTCACGTTTACAACCGAAGAGAAGTAGCACACAATAACAGGTTCATGTGACAGATCTTAATCGTTCTGTATTCTATAATTCTGCATGTTTAGTTTTCATGATTCAAATTTTTAGGATATATATGAAGATTTCAGTTATGGATTTAAATTCAAATATACATAAAGACTTAATTTTACCGTCAATCGACATGACAACCAAACTAAAGTATCTTTTTCTGTGTTTTATAATTCTATGCAAGGGTGGAGTAAATGTGCCGGACTACAAAGAATCTTTAAAAGAAAATATTAGGAATTTATTTTTACATTAAAATTAAATACTCCTTATGTTTTTAAAATTTGGGATGATACAAGGCCCAAGTTAGTCCTCCGGCCCCTAGCTCCGCCCCTGAATTTCTATGAAATATCTATCCGTTGTTCTTATCAATCTTCACAAAACTTCAAGAAAATGAAATAGTTTGAATGTTCCTGATGGATTTTTTTCAATACGTTCTTCATTAAATCTAGTTTGTCCACCAAATTTCAGTTTAGAATTAAATCGAGAAGTCACTAAAATGAGGAATTGAAAAATATTGCACTATTTGTGTGTGTGTGTATAAAGCGCAGTGCTTTTAAATTATTTATTTAACTGTATTCCCAAATGAACTTTAAACTGAAATTCGGTGGACATAAACTTGACTTGGTAAAACACGTGCTCAAAAAATTTTATCAAAAAATTCCACCGAAAAAATGATCTTATCCAGACAGCGGGTCCTGTTAGACTGGCCTGACAAGATCGCTACTGTATAAGTGAAATACGTAGTATTAAAACAAATTAAAAAATAAAAAAAGTAGAAAATACTTCCCCCATTTGAAAAAACCCAATGTTTTCTCAAACATAAAAATATTTGTTGAAATAATTATATATTTATGATTAAAATAAAAAATGTTTGCAAAAATGTGATTGAAGACTATAGTAGTAACTTAATTATAATAATTTATGTTCAAATTTTAACTTAAGACCATATTGTAGTAATTAACTATTACTCATATTTGTGTAAGTTTTTTTAGTAATATTTTTTGAAAAAATCTCATATTTGTTTCACTTTCATTTTGGAAAAGAACCTACTCAAATAACATAGTATACTTTTATAAATGTATAATATTGCTATAATACAAAAACCCCACTTTTTAAAACCTCTACACAACAAAAAGGATAGAGAAAATTTGCGAAATATCTATTACCCAAAAAAGGAATATGGATTAAAACTTTAAGTGCAGGGGAAGCATATTAATTAACTATTTCACATTTAATTAGTTCGGATTATCCTTCAACTGTTCAACTATTTAAGAAAACCCCTATAAAATTGGCTGAATATGTTCACGACTGCCACCTAGGTTTATTGCTGTAATTGCATCGGGATCACCTTTAGACATGTTCACTTAAGAATGATGAACAATGATTAAAGAGTGCGCCATTTCTCAAAAGAAAAAGAAAAAAGCAAATTAGTTTCGACGGATATCGAAATGAAAATATGTTTAATTTTTTTTTACTAAAAATGTTTTTTAATTTATTCTTTATTTTCGATTTGTAGTCTGTTGTTATTCTTTCACGAGTTCATTCGTTTGATGGAATTGAACTAAATAAAACTAGTTTTAACCAAAGTTGGACCATATTTATTTCGATCAATTGCAATTTGAAAGTGGTTTTTAAAGCCGTATTAATTCAAATTTGCACCCTAACTGAAATAAAATCAAGCCAAACATAATTTGATTTACGTTGTTAATCGAACATTGAAATGGATTTAAGTATTTAACCTAACTAAAAGTAGAACAAACTAAAAGAATTTCAAATACCCACCTGTAAATATCCTTTCCTATTAAAGATAAACATAATTTATTTAGATACCAATTAAGAAACAATGATTGTGTTTTTTAATGATTGTTTCTTTTTTGTCTAAAGGGTGTCCAAACCTTTTTGTCTTCTCTTTTATTGTGTTGTTTTGAGCTATTTCCTTTGAGATGTTCATTTGTATCATTGTATGTTGGATAAACACTAAATAATGCAACATTTATTTATGTTGGAGTTTAAAAAAAGATGCAATTTATTTAAGTAAGAGAGGTCAGATGTGTTTAATTATATTTTGATGAAGTGTGAAATTTACACCTAATATATGAATATATCTACAAGGCTTGTGCAAAACAATTTTGTCAATTCAGAGATCACCTCATCCATGAATCCTCGGAACACCTCATCCCTGAATCCCTGGAATCATCCCTGAATCCTCAGAATCGATCAGACAACTATTTGAAAGAATGTAAATTGAGTTTTGATCACATCCTGATTAAAAGAGAGTGAAATTCTATCTCAAATCATTGCTTGAAGTTGAACTCGGAACATTATTTTGTGACACTCTCATGTTAACAGGTGAGCTACGCCCGGAGTAGAGTCTAAGTAGAGTCAATTGGCCGCTATACTGTGATTATCACCGGCGTTTCTTCTGGGATAGTGTTACAAATAGATTCAAAAGTGAATCATGTTCCTCTTTTGTCTCCACCTTTGTCCCATAGGTCCACCCTCTCCGATCCCAAGATGAAAAGTGTTACTAGATAGCTCCATCTGTTATTTTTTAAGAAAAAGAAACCATCTTACTAAAGTTTATTTTTATCAAAAAGAAAAAGAAAAAATCAACGGCGTAATTCTTTTGATAAGAGAAAAAGAGTTCAAAATTGTAAAATCAAGATAATCTTGTTTTTTGTTTTTTCGTTAACTTTTTTTATTTATTATCCCATAAACATTGTCTATTCCCACTAAAATAACTAATTCGTACGGCTGCCATTTTTTTTCTACTCTGCACTAACCTTATCATATACTCCTATGTCACTCTGTAACTTTTATTATTATTCACGCAATTGAAAGTTGACTGTTTAATGGGGGCAACGATAATATGAATTATCAAAAATTCTACAAAATTTACAAAGGTTACATTTTCTTAAAATAGAAATCTCCTATTTTGAATTTAATTGATCAAAAATCATTACAACAGAATCAAAACAAAACCAATTCTAGGCACAAAATCATATTAGTATATTAAACTTTAATTTTGCCGCTCACAAACGAGTGGGGATGGATTTGGTGGGGGATGACCGCCCCTGAAACTTCTATTTTTTTAATTATGTACTCCATATGTATGTATGTGATGAAGTATCGCATATACCTCAAGGATATCATAATTGTCGTCAATAGATCACAAGAGCATCCCAAAGTACTCAAAGCACCAAGTTCCCAGCAAAAGCGGACCCCGACCCCGAACCATCGAGGTCGGGACCCAGTCTAAGACGACGCAATGACAAAGGACGGAAGACGAGCCGAGGCCGACCTCGACCCCCCGAGGTCGGCGGAAACATCAAGCTCGGATATCGTCCAGACATGGCAAGATATGAGACCGACTTCGAACACACCGAGCTCGGTAACAACTCTGACCTCGGGTACGGACGCAAGGTCAACCAAAGTCAACAAGAGAGTCAACGTTGTAAGACAAGACCGAAGACCGAAGATGTATCCTCTAACAACGAGCACGAGCACCCAAGCTCTGACCTCAGGGAAGCTCAAGGTCTCACCAAGCATTATGGACTTGGACAAAATACGGAAATAAATACCACGCAAGGCTATCTCCACGGAGTCCACGTCATCACTACCTCCTAAGAGGTTCCACGCCACCCCAGAAGATGAGAGCAAGAGCATTCCAGATAATACACGTGTAACCCGCACGTGTATTCCAG